TTTATGCAAATTTGTGTTTTTATTGAATTCTCTCAATTCACGTATAATAATTCGTATTTGATATCAAGGTAAATAAAAATTGTATCAATTTTTTTTCCTCGGAAAAACAACGAAAGGGGGATTAAGTTTTGATCGTCTGGACGCCTTCGCGGTTGAAAAAGGAGAAAATACGACGATGAGAAGTGACAGAACGAGCACGATGGGTGGTGAAAAAAGTACGGCGCGTTCGGAACGATTGCCAACCGTGAATTTACACGGTCGTCCGGTTTCTGGCAGAACGTGACACCCGCGGCGTTGTGTCGATGACACCGTCAGCGCATTAATTCCGGACGATCGATGCGTGCCACGAGATAAATAAAAAACGGAACCTGGCTATTAGTGGTTTTCAGTACGGAGGTTTTTCTGTTTTTTTTTTTTTATATAGAAACGATTCGTGCCGGGTATTTCGAGTCGCGATTTCGGGAACGTCACCGCGATCGCGTGTCGCGAAAAATAGCGTGGCGCTCGTATAACGGGGTCCGCGATCCACTCCCCGTCCAGTTCAACGTTTTCATCGCGCGGTCCAATTTTTACCCTCGACGGGAGAAAAAAATCTCGCGTCACTTTGACAGCGCAATCGAAACCGCGATTATTCGTACCCGAAGCTACAAGATTAGTCGGTTCGATCCGACGGTTAGCGAATTTTTTATGGCTAATCGACGAAGCGAGGATCAAATAAAAATCTCGCAATTTCTCCAACGGTCGCGGCCCCGGTGTCCATTTATATTTCGATATTTCATTTATTTTTCCGCCGTCGTTCCGTCCTCCCTCGATAATATTTTAATATCGTTTTTCCTTTTATTTGTTTCTGTCGTGTTGCCTTTTGTTGCGCGTGACAGGTGCGTGAACCGTGCCTTTCCGTGCCGTTGAATCGCGCTTTTTAAATAACGCGTACCGAATAAATTTCTCGCGCGAACGAGCCGGCCACGTTGGAGAATATCGTAGCCGCGGATATACTTTGCGCAGCGCGGAATCAAAATGAATTCCGGGTCGTGTAGCCCGGCGCAGGGTCGCGTCGTACGATTACGCGAGACAACGGAGGGCCCTGCGTCGTGTTTAATTGCGTCGAACGCGCCCCGTCGTGTTCGCGTTCCGCTAATTTCATCGGCGAACTTGGCCAAAGTGGAACGAGTTCCTGTTCGACTGGAAAACCAAGGGAGAAATACAGGGGATTCTGCCTGAAATTATTATTTAAACGATCGTTCCTAAATCTCATTATTATCATGACTGAAACTTTCATTCTTAAAAATAACAAAAAGGTCTGGGTTATTCTACTTTCTATCTTTCTCTATTTAATTCTGATTTTTGACATCAACGATACGCAAGAAAATCTCATCTCCGATCCAAGACTCAAACTTATTCCAGTTCAAATTGCAAAATTCCCAAATCTACCAATTACCATATCTATGATCGATTCTCCCAATTTGACACGCTTGTAACTCGAGCCTGCGTCTGATTATTCAGCAAAGTTCAACCAGTTGGCCTTTTTAACCATTATGACGAGTGACGGATAGAAGTTAATTACAACAGTGGATCGTTGATCGTCGAGATCGAATTGTTCATTGCGCCGGCGGGCTGCTGTACGACTCCTAGAGCCCTAACGTCCATTCACGGCGCCGAATGCATTATTTTTCGCTCGTATCGTCGCGATTTACTGCCCCCGTCCGTGACGCGTACAGCTGCATTATTTCCGCGGCGTTATTATCGCATTCGTTCGCGGTTTATTTATCCGCGGGCGATGCTTTTGACGTAGCTCGCGAGCGGACAAAAGGATCGTAAACTGACAGAACGCTCGCAAAGGATATGCGGTTGACTATCAGCTGACCGGTATATTCGACGCGCAATCCGTTCTTTACTGTCGACGAATTGTTTCTTCGATCGATCTCGTTTCGTGGGGGGAATGGTCGATAAACGCGTTGCAATCGAAAGGCTGCCTTTCCATTCGCATTTTCATGGTTCTCGACAATGTTCACGTGGAAATTGCTGTTAAGTCTACTTGGATTTGTCGTAACTAAAATTGTTATTGATCGAAGCATCTGGAGTTATGAGAGATTCATTGATATTTTTTGATCTATCGGTCACAGTATCTTGGAATAACTTTTAAGAAATTCTGCAGACTATTATGCAGATAAAAAGCAATAATTCTCAATCCGATATACTTCATAACTTGAAATTTGGTTCATTCGCTTTCGAAGTTAGGTAAAATGAATCAATTGTTGACAATGCTGAAAATATTACTCAGATTGACGGATGATTTATTTGCAATCGTTAACGAACGAACTGGCTAAAGTGGCTCCAGATGCAGGGGTTTAAGTTGATAAAGAAAACTATTGTTTGAGAATCGGCGTTAACAAGCAACCCCTCCGGCGGAGAATTCGAGTTTTAATTGTCACGTGTACGTGACAGATACGAGCATCTTGTTCCTCGTAGTGACGAGGAGTGCCAGCAGTCAGTACTCGAAGAACATACAAGTGTTTTCCACTACGCTCTTCGCCGACCCCCGACGTAATTTACAACCCCTTCTCTCCGGGATGCTCTTCGCCAACGTCAATCCCGTGAAATTCTGTTACTACTCCGTTTCAAATTCCACAGACTACCAGCCATTTAAACGCGTCTATTTCACTATATTTTTAATCATTAGCAGCAGCCCCGACAATCCGCTTAAGGGTTGAAGTCGACGAAATGTTTTGTAAATGGCGGAAATTTATCGTTCGTACCATATGTATGTGAAATTCTGAAACGCGAAAACTCGTTTCCTGGTAGGTATATCTAAAAAATTGTACAGGAGAACAATATTATTGACATTCTGCTCGATATTCTGCCCAGCTATTATTAAACGAACTGATATTCCCGTTTTTCCAATATCGAAGTTACTACTCGAAAATGAATTCTGAAAGTTAAACGGACGAACCGTACTCCTTGATTACAAAGTAATACAATTTTGCGTAAAGCGAATCGAAAGATCGTTCCTGGAATATGAAACGGATCGTAAGACATCGCAGCTTCGAGATCAAAAACATGTTGGACAAACAGAATAATCGATCTAATTTTCTTACATGGAATGCTATATTTTCAAGAGATCAAATCCAAAGAGGCGTTATACGAGTTCGATAAAGGACAAAACGTTTGAAATTTGTCCGTAATAAACTATTTCCCGCGTGCTTCTTTCATGATCGACAAATCAGTTTAGCAATAATTCTCAATCTCTGTTTATAATATCATAATTGCAGTAACTTGATACGAATTCGATCAACGAAGCTTGGTGGTCGTCGACCCATGCAGGATGTAAACACAAGCCAACAATTTACCTTTATGGAATTCAAACTAATATCGTATAGCACCTCTTTGAAGTTGTCTCGTTGCCTGCATTTAAGAAAATTATCAGTCCAACGAAACAACTTTTAAGCAAGCTAACAGAAAGCCTAAAAATTCTACAGAGAGCGTAATAAAATCATTTCTGTAAAATATTCAGTGAGAATTCCACGATTAAACGTGGCCGATGAACGCGTTAAGCGCAAGATTAGCAGATGTAACAGAAAGAAAAATCCTCTTCCGTCCGTTGAATAGAGAAAAGGAAAAACCGTCGACCGGTCTCGAGCGTGTTTCCTTTTGGTGGAATGTCGGCCAGGTCCGATGGCATCGGTGACTTTTGCAGGCCTACGTAAGAAAGGGACCCCGAAATCTCCGTAATAGAATTCGTGGAAAAAAGCGGATCGAGGGTTCGTCCGGATAAAAGGAGTCCGGGTTTTCGCTTATCGAGCGTTCCCGGCCACTGGGTCCACCGCGGGACAAAACCTCGAGCCCCGGGAGGTTGGCTCGCGACGTTCGAGAAACCGCGTTATCGTCGTGGCTATCGACGTGTGTGTCCACGTACGGAGAAACGGTCCCCGGTCATGCGTGTCGGGTGAGATACACCGGTGGCCGGAAGTGCCGTCTCGATGGGAGCGGGTCCTCGTTCCAGCGTCCCTTCGGAAAGACATCAGCCTCGCGCAGCTCGATGGGCCGCGGCGAATCGCCGAGAGAAAACCGACGTGGAGGTTGAAACGGCCGTGAAGCTCGTGCGCTGCGGAGTCCGGCTCGTTCTAACTTCCGGGGCACCGCGGCAGACGGGAAACTTCGGTAACCGTGGAACACCTCTCCGCCGGCACGCTGAAAAGTTCCACGGAAGTGTTACGACCCTCGAACGAATATCTTTTCTACTTTTATAACCGTGGCCGTTACAAGGGACCGAGGGTGACACCGACCGTCCATGAGCCTGGCTTCGTTAGCCGTAATCGTTTCCCGCGCGTCGAGCCAAAGTTTCCCGGTACGATCGAGATTTCATTGGTCGTTGGTCGCGTGCTCGAGCGGGAAACCTAACGCCACCGGTCTGGGTCCGCGGGCCCGAACGCCGCTCGGCGGTCGTCGGCGTTTCCCGTCGCGACCGTTCCCGGGACGCGTGATTCCCGGAATACCGCGTCGCGCGACACGCAGAGGTGCCCGCGAATCGGTCAGTCTGTTATTCCGCGTCGCGAACGAGCAAACAATCCCGGATTCCTGATACCGGCGAATCTCGACGGAGAAATGCCCAGCAGGGAATTCGACGCGGAGGATCTTCCGTTCGAGGTGATTCGGGGAGCGTGGGCGTTCGAGGGCCGTACCTAGGGATCGATGGAACGCGAGGAACGACTCGACCTGGAACCGAGCAGGATTGCTTCGATACTTTGGCGACCCGGAGAAGAATGGAGGTGAAGTGACGAAGAATTTATGGATGGTATTAGAGGGAAGAGGAAGGAAGAGAAGTGCCTCCGAGAGTTGAAAATTGGATCGAGTTCGAAAGTAAAGGATACAGATTTCTCGCCGATAACCAAGGGAACAAAGTAGACGAGATAAGTGACTTGGAATTATCGAAACGTGGTGATATCCGTGGTACGTTGAAATTAGACGCTGGTCATCGAAACAGTGGGAAGAGGAGGGGAGTGGTTGTTGTTAAGAGGGAACGGCACATCTGCTATGAATCTCGTTGGCTCGTGGAGCCTCGATGACCTTGATTCAGCGAGCATGAAGCAACCATCGAGGTCACCGGGACTCGAGATTGCTATGGCACTGTTCGGCATGGTCTGGCTGCTGCGTGTTCGCTCGGAGATGCGTCGTTGCTCTAAATGCCGTCACGAGGAGATCCTAGCGGCCCAGCAGCAACAACAGCAACAGCAGCTGCAGCAACAACAGCAGCACCACCACCACCTGCACCATCATCCTCACCATCAGCAACGCACGCTGTCGCAGGCCACCAGTTTGTTGCAGACACCCGACGACGGCGTCACCTCCTCGGCGAACACTCTTTTCACCCTGGACACGCCTGGCGCCGCCGGTTCCGCCGGAAGTTACTGCGAGGTTCACGGCTTCGTTCAGGCGAAAGAAGGTAGTATCGCTACCATTTCAATATAGCCCTCCATTCTCCTATTCTTCGTCCTCTTCCATCCGTTTCCCCACAAATATACGCAAATTTGCTATCCCGACTTTCTGTTACGTTTTCTCGCGTCAGTTTCAGTTTTTTACTCGTGTAAAATGGTAAAATGAAAAGTGATGTTTAACCATTTTTTAGACAACGTCGTGTGTTGTATCTTGAAATGAAAATTGTCAAATATCACTTCTCGTTTTACCATTTTACACGAGTCTCCTCCTTTAGTTACTTTTCTGTTTCATTCACGGCAGTTTAATTTGATTAAATTTACAATCCTACTAAAAAGGGATAATATAATAATTTTGAAACTGTTCTGGTAGGTGCTGAATGTTTGTTTCCAGCGTTTCGAACAACGTTAACAGTCTTTTTGCCCGGTTTTGGAACGCTTCCTCGCAATCTTTCGGGCCATAGTTCGAAAGAACGATTATGATATACCGAGAAGCACTTTGAAAAGTTCCTAGTACTTTTGCAATATGCCAGGGTCATATTGTTAAAGAATCGAAGAAGGTTAGCGAGCAGAATACTCGGGAGAACTTTTCGAATTTACGAGGGGCAAGGCAGCCGAGCAGCTCTTCCATATGTGCGACGAGCAACCAAAATCAAAGTAGGTCGTTTACATGGATGGCGGAGGGCGCGGTGGAGGACAAAACTTTTATTTCCGTATAAAAAGGGTTGCCTCTGGCGGGGCTCGCTTTTTCATCGTACTTTCGATTCAATTTTGTCGGAAATAGTTGTTCCGAACTCAATTATTCATAACGTTGCGAGAAATTTGCATGAGTTCTTCCGGTTTACTTTTTCTACGATACGCTACGCTGAAATTGATAGTCGAAACTTTCGCGCACAGGCGTTGATAAACGTCGAAAACAATTTCCCAGTCGCGAAGAAAATTATACGAGAATCGTTTCTTTTTCAAACTGTTATTTTGATTTGCTCGTTTCCGTGGTTATTACAGCCAAAGTTCGTACCAATTTTAGCGGGGCCTTTACGTTTACACGCGTCGCGAAAGTAAACAAGACTGTTCCGACGTTTCTTCGATTTACTGCCCGGATAAAGTCAAAATAAACGCGGGCGAAGTTACGATTATTAAGAATCGTGTTGTCCGTGTGAAACGCGGGCGTAGGAAGCGTGCCTTTCAGCCATTGTCGACGCCCCATAAAAGCCGTCGTGCGAACGTTTCGCAACAAATCGTCTTTTATCGGTATTCCTCATCTGTTGGACATGGCGGCATCATGACGCCATGAGTTGTTGAGTTTGTTGCCGCTTTTGTCGAGCGGCCTTATTGTCTCGCGCAACAAGGGAGCATCTGTTCCATAGGTAACCATCCCCTTACTGTTCCTCCGCCCTCCGCTTCCGTCGCCACTATTTGAATAGCATTGTATCACCAAGGTGAATTCGCATTAAAGACCCAACCAAACGAAGTTCGGAAGCCGCCCCCGCGGTCTTGGACATATAAATGTTTGCAACGCAACAAAGGAAACGTTCCTCGATCATCAAGAAGCAGCTAATTCAGAAAGTTACTTATAATTAAATCATAAACAGAATACGACTCGACCAGTTTAAAAAATTTTTAAAAATCTTTCTCTTCTGCGAATCGAGATTTCCGTTTAACCTGCCGCCGGAATAAAAATTTCTCAACGCGATCGCTTTTTAGCATCCTCGGGAGGCGTTGATGGAAATTTACAATTTCCAGGGAAACTAAATTGTTAGCGAATACTCGACACGTAATCTCCGTTCCCGCGCAGCATGAAAGGAAGCGGAGAGAAACCGGGAAGCCGTTTTACGCGGACCGTCTTTTTTCCACGGCGCACCCTTTTATCCAGCATCCAGCATGTACCCATGGTCCACCTACTTGCTCGACCCAGTTATGAAATAGTTTCCCTGGCGGCGGGGCGAGTGGCGACTCGGCGGTATCGCGCTTTAAAGCTGAAAGCATGTTCGTGTCGTGCAGGCACGTCGCTTGTCGTATTGTTTCGAGTTTATTATCTGCCTCTGAGACCCGACTTCCCTCGCGAGGCTACAGGCACGGGACGAATAAAAACCGACGGAAGAGGAGAGGCTGCGAGAACCGTGAGAAAGTTCCGTGATTTAGGATATTTACACCCCCCCCCCGAAAAAGAAATTGCTTACCCCTGGCTCGAGTACTGGATACTCCAAAAGACGAATGCACCGTTAATTGTGTCGACGAAAGACGTATCCAGTTTCCTCGATTTTAAACAACGAATATTTTGTATTCTATAAATCACAGGTAATTGATGAATAGCGTTGGCCTGTCTTGGAATTTTGTAAATAACGTTAATGTTTATTTTCAGCAGATCAGTCTTGGGGCCAAATAAAGCGTTTATATGCTGACGGCGTGGCGCAGAAGTATAAATTTAATTCCCTCCAAATTAATGCCCCGAAATTTATTAGCTATTCCCATAAATGTGAATATTCGATTATCAATTATCGACGCAGCGAAACGTTCGATTGTCGGGTAAATCAGTTCCCCGCATTTAGCGGGGCTAGTAAATTCGAAGAGATAACGAACGGCCGTCTGTTTTTAATTATTTATTATTTTGTATCATTCGGTAACGAGCTCGCGAGGAGTACTTAGCGAATGAAAACGGGGCTCGCAGGTGGAAACCTCGTTATCCTGATTCGCCGCCGGGAGGCAAAAGAAGGTGGACACCCCCAGTGAACGTCAAAAGCAGGACCGATGTTAATTTACATCGGGATCCGAAAGAAAACCACTTCGTCCGCTAAAAAACTTTCCATACGCGCATTAACGCGAGTATCTCTCATCGTTTCGCATAAGATATGCACTGTATCCGTATGTGTGTGTCCCCCACACGGCCACGGATGGTATTTGTATATTTACGATTTCAGCCAGACCCTCGTAAAATCTGTTTCCTTTTAATCATTTTTTTTTATATCAACGCTGGAGTGTTGCATTTTATCACTGGCAAAGCGCTGGGCTGCATTCGTCTCTCTGTGCCCGTTCAGATATAACGCGAAGAAAGCAGATTTCTTTCAAACGACGTCGAGAAGAGATGGTCTCGAAAACTATTACCCGCCGCTTTAATTCGTGGAGTGCATTGAAAGGCGACCGTTCTCAATTTTAATTCGTTCGAGTTCAAATATCTGAAGCAACTTACATACGTGTCCACTCGAATCACTGAAACTGAAACGCGTCGATTCGACTCTGACGACAATTCATTATATTTCGAAATTCGAGTGAGCAAAATTAGTAGGACGTGTTAGATAAATAGCTTCGATTTTCCCACCTTTTGTCGCAAATTGCGCGTACGTATTACGAGCAGGCTCCTTCCTCTTCGACGTGGCGCACAACAATCGGCAATCATGCATCATTCAGTTTACGTTGCCGTACGATAAAATCGAAACTTCGGAAAAACATTTCGTATGCAGCAGCCTGACATATACGGTCAACTTAGGGATTGTTCGCGCAATTTGTTGCGCATTGTTTGCCGATAGAGCACGCATCAGACTTTCGAACGATCGTTTTATCCGAGCGGAACAGGACGAATCACGGTAGATTTCGTTTAGCGATGATTACAAAGAGCTACACTATTCTATTTTATTTTATCCCCGAACAAAATTATTTCTTAGCGATTTATATATTCGCGCGTTAATTACTTTTCAACCGGAAGAATAGGTAGTGAAAAGTTCTCCGCGGAGAAAATCCCCAACGAATTTACACGCGTGGGTGTTTTGTATTTTGTTGAAAAAGTAATCAAAGAGCCAGGAAAAAGAACTGGTTCTTGGTCCATTGCTTGAACATAATCTGCAAACAACGGGCCGGCGTGCTGTCAGAATAACGTTATCCTATATCTCGTTAAACTCCAAAGGGGAAACCGGTACACGCAACTAGAAATTTTAATTCGAAACAGCAACGTACCCGGCGACTCGTAAAGTCCCTTTATTACGAAATTTCCTACCTCGTGCGCGTAGCTTCTTTGCGTTTATTTCTCTCGAATCTGTTCGCCGGCCTTTCTTCGTTTTATTCACCAACCCTTGTTCATTCTGCTTTATTGCCGCGCGTATTCAGCGTACATTTTTCTCGACGACCGGGTGGTTAGCTGGCGATATAAATTAAGCCGGAAACGGTGGAAAATTTAGTGGCCGGGGAGACCCGGAGAGGGAAGGAACAAAACGTAACGCGAAGTTTCATGGCGAAGCCACGCTAATTACCCGTACTTACGCCGTTGTGCTGGCACATCGAATTAATCATAATCCGCGGATCTAACCTTTTTACCTCCGCGGGAACGTCGTCGTGATGAGAAAATGGGGAATTATCGATTTAGGACACGACGAGAAAATTGGATCGGTTTATTTGAAATCTGAAGTGTCGCAAAAAGTAAAACAAACTTAACGATTTTCAAGCATCCTTAATGTCTCAATGGAACGAGTAATTTTAATTTGCTATTGCTTTAGAATCGATACGATAATAAAAGTAATATTTATTAAGGAGGAGGGTTCGTTTATTACAAAGATCGAGGGAAGCTCCAACTTTGTACGTGGAAAGTTTTCTTAAAAAAGAATCTGAAATGTCCCCAATTTTTCTGATTCCAAACTGGGCTAATCCCTTGGAGAAAAGACCAGAAGACATTGTTCTCGTTCGCTTTATTTTTCTCTCCCACTCTTCGCGAGGGTTTGAAATTTTTGCGAAGTTTGGATGAGTTTGGATATTAGTTCCGATTTCGAAAGTTTCGAACTTTGATTATATCGAATCTCTAAGAATATTTAGCGAAACGAATTCGAATTTCAACCATGGTGAACATTTCGATATTTCGAGGCGATGTTTCTTCCCTTGGGCGGTTTTTCCTTCGTGTTTCTACGTGGTAGGAAACCATACATAATCGGGCGTGTGTATCTGTTCTGTGTTTCCCGCTGAAGGAAACCAAAAGAAACACCGGCTCGAAGGGATTAGAGTTTCGTGCCGTAACGTGGAAACAACGAGA